ATTTCCTTTGGAACTGTCATAAATGGTATTGTATTATTAATGCTAGTTTTGAAATGTTCATTGTTAATATATAGAAATGCCATTTATTTTTCTGTATTGCTATTATATCCTGCTACCTTGCTGACTTTATGTTAATTCTAGGAGTTATTTGTAAATTCCTTGGTATTTTCTGTGTAGACAACCAGGTCTTTGACAAATAAAGGCAGTTTTCTTTCTTTCCTTCCAATCTTTGTGCTTTTTATTTCTCTTTCTTGTCTTATTTTGGTGGTCAGAATTTCTAGCACTATGTTGAATTAGAGTGGTGAGAACAGATTGCTTGTCTCTTTCCCAATCTTAGGGAAAAAGCATTCCATCTTTTTCCATTAATTATTTGGTTCCTTTTTTTTTTTTTTTTTTTTTTGGAGGCGTGGTCTTTCTTGCTCTGTCACCCAGACTGGAGTGCAGTGGCACAATTATGGCTCACTGCATCCCTGAACTCCCAGGATCAGGTGATCCTCCTGCCTCAGCCTCCCGAGTAGCTGGGACCACAGGCACACCACCCCGTCTGACTAATTTTGTTTTGTTTTGTTTTGTTTTGAGACAGGGTCTCACTCTGTCACACAGGCTGGAGAGCAGCGGCGTGATCTCGGCTCACTGCAACCTCCACCTCCCAGGTTCAAGCAGTTCTCCCACCCACCTCAGCCTTCCAAGTAGCTGGGACTACAGGTGCACACCACCATGCCTGGCTAATTTTTGTATTGTTTGTTAGAGGTGAGGTCTCACCACGTTGGCCAGACTGGTCTGAAACTCCAGACCTCAAGTGATCTGCCCACCTCAGCCTCCCAAAGTGTTGGGATTACAAGCATGAGCCACTGTGCCCAGCCTGATTTTTGTATTTTTTGAAGAGACAGGGTTTTACGATGTTGCCCAGGCTAGTTTTGAACTTCTGGGCTCAAGCAATCTGCCCATCTCAGCGTCTCAAAGTGTTGGGACTACAGGCATGAGCTACTGTGCCCAGCCTAGATTTTTAAATAGATGCTCTTTCTCAACTTAAGGATTCTCCACACCAATCCCCGCCATTCCCAGTCTGCTGAGACTTTTTACTGTGAATGGGCATAGGATTGTGCTGGTCTTTTTTTCTGCATCAAATGATATAATCATTTTTATTCTTTAGCAGGTTAACATGGTAAATTACATTGATTGATTCTGGAATATCGAACCAACCTTGCATATCTGGAATAAATCCCTCTTCATCATGGTGTATATAATTTTTTATATACGATGCTGTATTAGATTTACAAAATTTTGTTGAGAAATTTTGTGTCTAAATTTATAGAGATAGTGATCTATAACTTTCTTTTTTGTACTGCATTTTCCTGATTTTGGTATCAGGGTAATACTAGCCTTATACAATGAGCTGGGAAATGTTCTTTCTTTTACTTTCTGAGATACAGTATGTAAAATTGGTATTAATACTCCTTAAAGTATTTTCATATGAAGATTAATTTTTGAGAGCCTTTTACTTATAACTTTAATTACTGTAGTGGCTATGGAACTATTCAGGTTGTCTCTATCATCCTAGTTGAGTTTGGTAGTTTGTAGTTTTCTTGGCATTAGCACATTTCTTCTAGGTTGGCAGTAAATTCTCTTAAGTTTTCTTTCATCTGAGAATGTCTGATTTCTCCTTCATTCCCAAAGGGCATTTTCAGTGGCTATTGGATTTGTGATTCTAAGTTCTGTCTTCAACTTGAAAAATGTTGTGCTTCTTCCTTTTGGCCTCCATGGTTTCAAGATGAGAAATCCACTGTCATTCAAACAAATATTCCCCGTGAATAATGCTTCATTTCTCTCTGGTTCTTTCAATATTTTCTCCTTTGTTTGTAGTTTTGGGTGTTTAATTATGATGTTAAGAAGTTTAATTGTGCTTTTTTTGTGTTTACCCATTTGGGTTTGCTCTGCCAAGGGGACAGAGGATTAGCTCCCAGCTTGAGTGCTCACCCAACTAGGCCAGAGAGTTCAAGCACTCAGCCAGCTTCTGCAGAGCAGAAGCTCAGGTGAGGCTGGAAGGTCCTGTTCAGCCCACTAGAGTTTTACTGGGATAGGGTGGGTATCGCCAAAAAGGTTTCCTTCTGTTGTCAGGCAAGCCTTTTCCCTGTGCTTTGACCAGGGGTGGGGGTGGGGGGCAGGCCTTTCTTAGAACTTTCTCATCTGTGCCTGTTGGTGGTTGGAGGCTTCTGCAGTGCCTCAATCAGGGTATGGGGGAGTGATAAGGAAATCCAAGGACTCACATCTGTCATTCTTCAAGGTCTGAGATCCGTAGGCTTTTGTTTCTTCCTTTCTCCAGCTTTCAGACTCTTCTTCTGCTGTCTGTTGTGTTATGTCCAGATATTTTACCTGTAAGAGGGAGTGCATGGGAGGAATGGGAGTCTCCATCTTTGGGGAACCAGCAGTCAACACTCAGGTTTTAATGCACTTTCCTCTGTTTGTCATATTTCACTATTAAAAAGAGTTAACAGGCAAGAGATAAGACGGCCACCACACTTGAGAAGGTTGGGAGCCCTGACTTGGTACAAACTACTTTTTGATCTGACACATGACAAATGATGTCTTATAATATCTTACAAAAAACATATGTGTATCATGCTGATCCTTCTGGATAATCCAATCTAGGGAGGTTATTTAACAAATAACTCCTCACAAACCAGGGATAGCTCTCCAGCACTGGGTCCTCCGGCTGATAGCCCCCACCAAGTGTCAGACCTACCTAGGCCTCATTCTTGTCTCGTTCTCTTTTTTCTTTAAATGTGCCCCCTCACTTCTCTGTAATATTTCCCATGCCCTTTTCATACCTGCTCCTCCTGCCTGGGCTTTTGGATAATCTAACCATGACTGGTTATTGACCACTCACAGTGTGTTCTGTACAGGAGAGGGGTTTTACAAACTAACGCCCCATGGTTTCTGAGGAGGCCTTCTCGGCTACTTATGGTGGGCAAAGAATGGGCTCCTGTACCACCCCATCATTCATCCCAGAAGGCCCTAAAACTCAGAGCAAACTATTTGCAGTGAATCTAGGAGTGCAGGATGATGGAGATGGGGCATCTGGCCCCACCTTAGCTCCATGAAGTGTCCTGAGCCAGGTATAAAAGGAGCTGAATTTGCTTACATAGTGGCTCCAGAACTTGCTTTTGCCTCACTGTGCCTCCTTCTGCCCGCTGGCTTGCTGCTTTGTCTTTCTTCATCACCTCTCTTGCCACAGCCCCTCAGCTTGGCCCTGCAATACTCCACATTCCTCACTTCCCTGTGCTTAGTTCACTCCCTAAACACCAATCTCTTCCTCCTCTAGGGCATTCCTGGGGCCTCCCACTGAAACCAACCCAACACAACAGTCCCATAGATAGCTTTTTGGATAAACATATAAATGAATCCTTCTGGTCCTAAAGTTTGAACCTTACTTTTTTTTTTTTTGAGATTCAGTCTCACTGTCGCCAGGGCAATCTTGGCTCACTGCAACCTCCGCCTCCCAGGTTCAAGAGATTCTCCTGCCTCAGCCTCCTGAGTAGCTGGGACTACAGGTGTGCACCACCATGCCCAGCTGATTTTTGTACTTTTAGTAGAGATGGGGTTTTACCATGTTGGCCAGGATGTTCTTGATCTCTTGACCTCGTGATCTGCCCCCTCGGCCTCCCAAAGGGATGACAGGCATGAGCCACTGCACCTGGCCTGAACCTTACTTCGTTTTTTTGTTTTGTTTTGTTTTTTGAGACGGAGTTTCACTCTTGTTGCCCAGGCTGGAGTGCAGTGGCACGATCTCGGCTCACTGCAACCTCCGCCTCCCAGGTTCAAGTGATATTCTCCTGCCTCAGCCTCCCGAGTAGCTGGAACTATAGGTGCCCGCCACCACACCCAGCTAATTTTTTTGTATTTTTAGTAGAGACGGGGTTTCACCATGTTGGCCAAGATGGTCTCCATCTCTTGACCTCGTGATCCATCCACCTGGCCTCCAAAAGTGCTGGGATTACAGGCTGAGCCAACACACCTGGCTGAACCTGACATTTTTAAAATCTGAGTTCCTTCCTCAGGAAACACCCTCAGTCCTCTAAAAAAAAAAAAAAAAAGTATCAAAGAAGAGAAACTCCCCAGGTCAACACATCCAGACAATGAGATGCCTGCCCAGTCCTTCATGGTGACTGCTTCCTTGCCCCTCCCTAGTTCCTGTTTTCTTACACATTGTTACCTTTCTTCCCTGGTGTATAAACCCCTAGTTTTAGGTGGATAGGGAGATGGATTTGAGACTGAGCTCCCATCTTCTCATCTTCTCAGCCGCAGCACCTGATGAAAGCCTTCTTCCTCGGCAATACTTGTCATCTCTGTGATTGGTTTCTGTGCAGGGAGCAGCAGGACCTAGACAGAACCTGGGTGTTTGGGCAACACCATCTGCCTCTGCTTCCCAGGACACACTCAAAAAGGAGGGGACTGGGCCAGTGCATTCACCTCAGTGTCTCTGTTTCACAAGAGGAGTCGTGGAAATCGGAATGATCAAAATCCCAGCTCACAGAAATGAGCCAGGCTGAGTGCAAAATTAAAGTGGACAGGGCCCATCCACGGCCTGAAAAGGGCTTTGTTATTCCTTTCTAGGAAAGTTGTCACCTCTCAGGGAAGTGTCTGGCTGAGTAATGACAAGCATGGAAGGTCTCTGTCCACTCAAGGAATGGATCATACTGAGGCCTGGTGATCAGTTTAAAGGAAATTTATTTCCCATGGCTGACGTCCACAACGTTCAGCTTCCAAGAGTTCAGAAAGGACTTATATTTCACCTTGCCATGACATGGGTCAAATAGGAAGCCTCTTTGAGGGAAAATTAACCCCTGGTGACAAAGGATCATTTCTTAGCCCCTAGTTGCCCATCTGGAGTTCTCCGTTAGGCCCACAGAATCAGCAAACTCTGTGTGGAATTAGGCGATTGCTCCTCAGTAGTGGCAGTGCAACCGGAGGGAAATAATTGTTCCATTCTGACCTGTGAGTTCAAATACTCTGTGAGTTGCTATAGGAGTTTTATTTAAGCCACCAGCCTGTGCAAGAGGTGAGCAGTGGCCCGGCCCAACTGTGACATCCCAGAAGACACATCTAGTTGGCCAAGGCCTCTGCTCCCAGCTGGAGGAAAGGCCCCCACCCCCCACCCCATGGGGAGGGGAGAAAGCGCATGGATGGAGTGGCATGAAGAAGGGAGAGTGAGGAGAAAGCCCTTCCATGGTGTAAAAGTCGGCATCCGTGGAAGCCTCACACACTCGACTGATGTCACCCCAAGGAGCAGTTTCACCAGACAGGGTGCTGAGGCCAGCATAGCATCTGTTTGCAGACAGTGCTTGAAGGGATTGAGGTTGGGTCCTGGAGTTCTAAAGTTCTAATCCTTTTCTTCTGTCCTAGTTCACCTTCCTGCAAAAGAAAGGGGGGGCGGGGGGGGAGGGACAAAAAAAATCGCTATGCAGAAGTTCACTCCGGAAAATGCCTTGAAATAAAATCAACAAGATTGATGTGCAGGCAGACAGGTAATAACTTTAAAAGTGAAAGACATCTCCGAAGATCTATGGCATTTTTAACAAAACGGGGGGAAGGTGGGCAGCGCTCAACACTGCAGAGCGGTAATTACACCCACAGGAAGTCTCTAATGAACTTGAAAACAAAGCTCCGAAGAAAGGGAAAGAAGATAAATGCAGAGTTCTGTTTACGTAACCGTAGGGGGTTTGAACACCGAGAGCTTACAGTGCCTGAAACGCGGTGAGGAAATGGGAGGGAGAACAGCGAGCGTTCAGAAATTTTGGCAAAAGGTCAAAGAGAGTGAACGGATGTGGGGGGAGGGGAAGGGAGTGGCGTGGGGTGGGTGCTAGCGCTCATGGTACAAGAAGTTTAGCAAACATACAAGTTTAGTTGCTGAAGAAAATACTTAGAGGAAGGAGGGTTCTCTGCTGGGGACAAAGAGAAGCGGCTTTATCCCGCCTGTGGCCCGCAGGTGGGCGTTGGCGCAGGTCTCCCCGCGCCCGCAGCGCGTCCAGGTTTCCACCGGCTGAGCCCGGCCCACGTGGCCGACGCTGAAGCGTCGCTCTCCGTTCCTCCAGCGGGCGCCTCCCGGCCGAGCTGCAGGGGGTGCACACAGCAGAGCTCTACTGCGCCCTCCTCGCCGCGCGTGGGGCCAGGCCATGCCCTAGAGACCCGCCTGGGCCTGCCCCGAGGGCTCGGTGCAGCTGGAGGTCTGAGCGCGCGTCCCCTGCTGCTACTGATTAAGCCCAGTCCCCAGTCCCCAGTAGTAAGAGGGGGCCTCCAGGGAAGTGATTCCGTAGTAGGGGGAACGGGGCTGATAACCTTATGAGAGGGTTGGAGGGAGCTGTTTCCTCCCTTCCACTCTTTCTGCAGAGCGTTCCCCTCTCTACCCCACCCCTGCCAGGACAGAGCCCCCATCTGTGGTAAGTCAGCACCCAGCAAGAAGCCCCATATGGGAGGAACAGGCCCCCCCTCACTGCTGATGATGACGCCTTGATGGCGGACTTCCAGCCTCCAGCACAGTGAGAAGGAAATGTCAGTTTATAAATTACTCTCTGAGGTGTTTTGTTAACAGCAGCAGGAATGGACCAAGGGACACCGAGTTCTTACCATTGCCCAGTCACAATACCCTTAGACTCCAGCATCTCCCTGTCTTACCAGGAGTCAGTGAGACAAAAGGTGCAGGTGTCACTAATGGTGGTATACATGCACACTGTGTTAGTCTGTGTACTAGTTATGAGTATATATACTAATTATTAAACAATTTTAGAAAGAAAATACAGACTTGGGAGGTTTTAAAACCTGTCAAAGTCGGGTGTGGTGCACCTGTGGTCCCAGCTACTCTGGAGACCGAGGCAGAAGGACTCCTTGAGCCCAGGAGTTCAAGACCAGCCTGGGCAACATAGTGAGACCTGGAAAACAAACAACAACAAAAAAACTGTCAAGAGGCAGAACCTGGATAAGAAGTGGGTTATGTAAACCAGAGTGGTCCAAAACTTTAGATGCCTGAGGGGCCCCAAGCTGGTCCTAGATACTCATGAAAGTGCAATTCTAGAAGGAGCCATCTGCTCAACAGCCCGCCTGGTCATCCTCAAAGAGGCCACCACTCCCCACTCCTTCTCAGGGAGCCTCATCCCATCAGACCGTGAGGCCCATTCTTTCATTCATTCAGGTCATATTTACTGTCTTATCCACAATGCACCAGGCACTGTGCTGGGTGCTACTATACACATTATCACATTTGGCAAGGTATAGCACACCTCTTAATTTCAAAATAACCTTTCCAATGACATTAAAAATGGGCTTTACTTATGTGAAATTCACTTAAAATAGAAATCTAAGGAATTTTCAGTAGCATACCATAATTTGGCTAGAGGAGAAGGCTGGGTCTTCAGTGGGAAAATGTTAGAGGTAAAGCACTTGAGCACATGGCCTGCTGGGGAGAGTGCTGAGCCAGCTGGCTGTGCAGGGGAGGATTGAGGAAAAGGCTGAACATGAAGGCTAAGGATCAGTTTCATGAGCCCTCGAATCCAGGTTGATTTGAAACTTTGCATAGGCAGAACATTCTGAGGTAGCAAACAAAAGTTAGAGTCAAAAAGTTCTTTCTAAAGAATGATGTCAAGGAGGCAGCCAATTTAAGACTCACCCACACACTCGAACGGGCACTCAGTAAATTCTTACTGAATTAATGAATCAATCAGTCCATCAATACAGAGACAGCAACCAGGATCCTTGTCAAGTCAAGAGGGTTGTTAGTATTTCTTTAAAAGAAACAGCCTTATCTGTGAGCAAAATGAGAGGCTGCCCCTGAAGGCTAAGGATGTCCATTTGAGAGAAGCAGCCTTTCATTGTGCAATGATTAGGCTTAACTTGCTGGCAAGGCTGGAGACAAGGATAGAGATGAAAGGCTGGATGATGGCTGCGGGGGGTGCCCTGTCCTGTAGCTGTTCCAGCCAGGAAAGGAGACGGGAACAGAGGAGACAGCACAGGCGGCAGGCAGGCATCCTGGGCCGAGGAAGGAGGGAGGGCTCCCCAGGGTCACCCTGCTCTACTTTTGGAGCCTGATGCTGTAAAGGCAGCCCAGCAGGGACACACATGCTGCAGAATCTCCTCTGTCCCCTCGTTGAGAGGACCAGGTTTTCCCTTGGAAATGGATAGACACACACTGAGCTGCTGCTTCCCAGGAGGGCTGAGGCATCCTTCAGTAACTTCAGGCGTCCTGTCAGCCACGTCATGGTTTCCCACCTCTGGATTCCCATGCCTTCCTTACCCTGATGAGGTTTCTCCCATTTACACGTCATCCCTCATCATCCCTCTCCTGGATGCTTTGCTAGCTTTATGGAAGGAACTTGGAGGAGTGGCCAAGGCAGGGCCCAGCAGCTGCAGCCATGTGGGTGAATGGGGGCCGGGATGAGGAGGGACTCCATAGACTCAGTGTCGACATGAAGGAGGAAAGGGCCCAGGTGTCCTATTAACAGTAATAACAATAATCTTGCCTTAAACCTTATTTATTGATTTATTTTTGTGGTTTAGAATGAGGTGAGGCCTAAAGAAAGAAACAATCACATAGGCCAGGCACAGTGCCTCACGCCTATAATCCTAGCACTTTAGGATTGAGGTGGGAAGATTGCTTGAGCCCGGGAGTTTGAGACCAGCCTGGGCAATATGGCAAAATCCTGTCTCTACTAGATAAATAAATAAACAATCACAACTAAAGTCGTGACAGCCAAATTCACACATGCATTCTCAGTTGGCCCTCACAGTCCCCGACAGCCACACAGATGCTGAGAGTGTGAGGCTGCTCTGGAAGACAGAAGTGGGGCTAGACCCGATGACCTCTAAGGTCTGCTCTGCTGCTTTCGGTCCAGGGTCAAGGTGTTGGAGGGGCAAGATATGTGTGGGGGAAGGGCAAGAACCGGGCGTGCGTACTTAAGCTACTCATTTGGGTGCATGTCTGCCAGCCTCCCGAGGGCCTATGGAATAGACCAGAGCGATCCTCTAAGTGAGGACCGCTGGGATCAGATGCTTGGGCCGCAGCAGAGGTGATTGAAACGGGATTCGGCACTGTCCAGATGTTGATGCAAGGAGTGTCACCCTCAAATACAGCGTGTCAGCCACCGTGAGCCACTCTGCAGGAGAGCCTGAGAGTGGCATGTGGAGACAGGCCTCCCAGCAACGGGGAAGCCAGGGCGCAGCAGCAGGGCGCACCTTCTAGATGCAACGCTCTTCCTTCAGTGGAGCTAAGCGCCATGCTGTCTATTGTGGCCCAGCATGCACTTCGTGCTTTCCATTAGCCCTGAGGCTCAGGCGTCAATTATGATTTATCATTTAAAATCCAACAATATGTTTTTATTGTATTTCTTTCTTTTGAGACAGGGTCTCACTCTGTCACCCAGACTGGAGTGCAGTGGCATGATCATGGCTCACTGCAGCCTCAACCTCCTGGGTTCAGGTGATCCACCCACCTCAGCCTCCTCAGTAGCGGAGACCACAGGCGTACACCACCAGGCCCAGCTAATTTTTTGCATTTTTTGTACAGACGGGGTTTCACCACGTTGCCCAGGCCGGTCTCAAACTCCTGGACTCAAGATGTCTGCCTGTCTTGGCCTCCCAATGTGCTGGAATTACAGGCATGAGCCACTGCACCCTGCCAGTATGCTTTTAAACAGTACCAGGAAAGCCTCGAGCTCTTCCCCGCCTCAGCAGGACACATGCATTAACTGGCAGAGCCCAGTCTCCCTCTGAGGATGGGTCTGTGAGTGGCAGCTCTGGGAGAGACAGAAGTAGGGGACTGGCAGGGACTCAGAGCCTGCAGGGAGAAGGAAGATGCATGGTGGGGAGGCCAGCATGCCAGGCCGCCGAGCTCCCGCCCACTCCTGGAGCCCAGGCCCTCGTCAACTCTAGGTCTTGCTCCTGGCCTAGGTCCTGCTGAGTCCCCATAGTCATAACGACGCTTACACAGCACTGCTTCCTTCCAGATACTTTTTCACGGGGTTATTGTCAGTGCCCAATAACCCTGTGAGGCTTTTCACCACTTACAGGAGGGGAGCTGAGGCCCAGGAGGGCTTAGGCCCTGCCCAGGGTATCATAAGCAGAGGGTGGATGGACGTGCCAGGCTCAGAGCCTGTGCCTTCATGTCAGGCTCCACAGGCTTCCTTGGCTCCTTGCTGCCTTCAAAAGAGGAAAGTTACTTTTGTTTTCAAAATCCAGTCTTTCCTTATGGCTTCAAAAGCTCTTCCCTTGAAGCCTCCACAAAGGAACAAGATGTCTGGGGTCTGGCTGGACCTGGGAGAGCTCTGCAATGCCTCCAAGATGAGGCTAGTCCCCCAGGGGAGCCCACCCTCCTTCAAGATGTCTTCAGAGGTTCTATTCTATTCTATTCTATTCTATTCTATTCTATTCTATTCTATTCTATTCTATTCTGAGACAGAGACTCACTCACTCACTCTGTTGCCCAGGCTGGAGGGCAGTGGTGCAAATCTTGGGTCACTGCAACCTCCGCCTCCAGGATTCTAGTAATTCTCCTGTCTCAGCCTCCCAAGTAGCTGCTATTACAGGTGCGAACCACCATGCTCAACTAATTTTTGTGTTTCTAGTAGAGACAGGATTTCACCATGTTCACTAAGCTGGTCTTGAACTCCTGACCTCAAGTGATCTGCCTGCTTCGGCCTCCCAAAGGGCTGCAATTACAGGTGTGAGCCACTGCACCCGGCCAATGTCTTCAGAGGTTCTTTTTTTTGAGACGGAGTCTCGCTCTGTCGCCCAGGCTGGAGTGCAGTGCAGTGGCACGATCTCGGCTCACTGCAACCCTCTTCAGAGGTTCTTCATATCCAACACCCTGCAGTGATGAAATAAAGCATGGCATATTAACTGAGTGGACAGTTACGCAGCCATTTAAGCTGACAAATACACAGACACATTATAAACTATTCAAAAGTAATTTTCAGTGAAAATATTACCACCATGGAAAGCATGTATATAGATAAAAATGGATGTAGAAACAGAAATATATATGATTTGATATTATTGGGT